GATCCGCTCTTCACCCCAAACCAGAGCAGATTCACAACTTAGTCCCCACGCCCTATCAGCTCACATGCATAAGCATTTGCGCTTATTATGGGCTTAACGGTCCTTTTAAGTTCGCCTTCCTCTATTTAAACAAGCGTGTGTTCAAAAAGTAAAGACATGCTTAACTGGCCAATGGAGCGAACCAACCCCGTGACGTCACACGCTGTGGTACTGCAAGATGGCAGTGACCTTGCTCCAAAAGCTATAACAAAACATCCCTTTTTTTCTATAAAATGGTTACATTAATCATCTTTGTTATACATTTTTTAATTAATGTGTAAATCACTTTACTAAATAATGTAAGCTTGACTGAGAGCTTCACTTCCACTTTAAAATGAATGTTTATCACTTTATATTTTACACTATATCTGTGTATATTATTAAATATAAATTTGTATAAGTATTGTATTAACTGGTCGTACCTTATCCAAACTATACAAATATATCATAAGACTATACTCAAGACAAGAGAAATTGGTCAATATTATCTTACAAGCTAATTTGTTTAACTCTGCAGTGGGACTAATCCAGTTGATTATCAGTCAATGAATCTATTTTAACCTGAGTGTTCTATATGCCTCGAGGGATATTAGAAACGAAAAATGCTTACAATTAATTAAGGTACAAACACACATACACAAACACACTGCAAACATACACACAGTAAGAGGCAGACAGCAGAGTCAGTTGAAATAGTTGTACTGTGAATAATCCCTCTAATATCAGCACATAGCAAATCTGAGCAAATTAAGCTAGTTTTGCACAAACAATCCCCTGCAGCGAGAAAAAAGGAAGTTCTGCATATTGTTCAGTCACTCCTCAACAAATCATTACTACAAATGGCCTCATAGCTGTCCGTATCCATCTCTGTCTGAGGGAGTGCAGCAATTCCCTCTCCTGCACCACCACTACTGCTCTCATATTCATAAAGCCACAAGAGAGTCACGCAGGTGCAAAAATCACCCGATAACACCTCTCACCTGATGCAAAACTTAACATATGCATATGACCTGACATATGTATTAGTTACAGATTGTGCAAATTCAGGGGATGCACGTTTCAAATTATATGCTACGCCACTTTATAGGGTGATGTTCCATTATTGCAAATTGACTGCAATTAACTCAATTCATTAAAAGTGATTATCAGGGGAAGGCACGATTATTTATTCACACTGCCGACAGGAGACTTTCTTGGCCTTCTCAAAACCTACTTATTCAAATCTAAAATGCAGATTAATATCCTTTTTTTTCTCTCTGAATGTCTACTAGAAAATGTTACATATGTGGTATACTAAGATAAATCTGTACATGTCACTGGGAATTGCATTAGATTTCCCTACAGAGAAACATATGGATTTTATCATCTTACATGTATGTGCAACTGAATTTGAGTTAGTGATAAAGTACAGGTTTTGTGGAGATGTTTGGTGCAGTAGAGCTGCACAATGAATCGTATTTTATTTGTGATCATGATTCCTGCCTCTCTCAGTTTATTAAGCAGTATATTAATTGTTTGCAATATGTGCCCACTGGTTATCCCGAAAATGTTTCATTTCAATTTGTAATTTGCATTATCATGCATTGGTAACGAGCCTCCACAAGATTTCATGGTTGTGGGTTACCAGATGTCAAGCCTTTAAGTCCCCCAATCAGAGCTCTTTTTTTTCATAAAATTGATACATTTTCTGCCCATTGGTTTACTTAATTTTCCTAACCTGGCAACCATGTGCCCATACTCGGTTTACATTATGGGGAAAAAATACATACGAGCTGAAAAGACCAAAAAGGCTAACATGTAAGCTGGAGTTTCTGCTCAAATAAAAGTGTAATACAGCCAGACTGCTTTCTTTCATGTAATCAGTTATTTATCCTGAAAACAGTTCATTTGAATTTGTTATTTAAATTTGTAACATGCCTCTACACCAGGGGTGCCCAATCTCGGTCCTGGAGGGCTGGTGTCCTGCAGAGTTTAGCTCCAACTTGCCTCAACATACCTGCCTTCAAGTTTCTAGTATGCCTAGTGAGAGCTTGATTAGCTGGTTCAGGTGTGTTTAATTGGGGTTGGAGCTAAACTCTTCAGGACACCGGCCCTCCAGGACCGAGTTTGGACAGCCCTGCTCTAGAAGTTGTTGCAGTTGCCAGATCTCAAGTGGTTAAATCCCCCAATCATTTTTTTTTTTAATCGAGCTGAAAACACTGGTAAACGTAGTTCCCTTTCAGTCGGTCACTCCGAGTTGCGTCGGTGACTGACAAATTGGGATCTCGCTTAGAGAGACCAATCCACTTTGAGTGTAAACTAAACGAGCCAATGCATATTGGCATGCGATGATTGCATCCAGCTGCCGCTGATCACAGCGTGAGCATAAAAAGGCAGC